TGCCTTCACCACGAAAATCGCAATTCGCGGGAATCAATGTCACCAGGTGGCGCTCGGTTTTCATCGTTCCATGTCAAAGCTACGTCAAAACTGGGGGAAAACAAACTCAATCCTCACTCAATCCCCTTAGTGCCATTAGCTTGTGTACTGTGTACTGATAAGTGATGTTTTTAAATTTCTTGACATCAATTGTCAACATTCGGTCGAAAACTCGGTCGAAAACGCTAATAATGCCTGGTGGTAGATGTTTGTTTTCCCCAAGTTTGAAGTTCGTATCATGTAACCTAGATGTCACCCACTTCGTGAATCTCGCGAATAAACCATGAAAGTTCCGGACTTATTTTGAAAAAATACATTGTACAAAAATGAAAGCCTATCAAATTTACTGTGAAAAAAGATCAAAATCTGCTCGATATCTTGTTTGATTCAGCCGCTAGAGCGCCCTGAAAATTGACAATAGTTTCAAAGTTGTCCAAAATATTCGTATTTCAGATTTTAAATTAGTATACATCGCCAGGCTAGTGTGTCTCATCATGGAGCCGAACGATAATTATTGTACACTTTATGATAAGCCGCTGGACGATGGAACCGAAATTGTGAGTGTGAAGAGAGGGTTGAAAGCCATTGTAAAAGCTAGCGTGAGGAGGAAAGACGGTAAAAATGATATGTCTGAGAGATCAAACTCTATCACAGTTCATGTTGCATGCAGGAAACAATACACAATACACCAAACAACGAATATTGTTGCTGCTGAAAAAAAGGCTAAAGAGGGCAATCCTTCTGCGCAATTACGATCAGCTAAACATATTTTTGCCTTTCGAACTCATTGTCTCCTGTGTGGTAAATAAATTCCGAAGAACTATGCTGCGATACAAAAAAGTTGACTCCATCTGCACGTGACCCTGTCTATCTAGTGAGAACGATGAATGTGAAAGGTAATGTTATTCAACATGCCAGTACTTCAAATGATGATTATTCCCGAGCCGTTGAACACCGTTTAGGACCTATTGAAGACCTGGTTGCGGCTGGTGGTCAATACCATCGTTCTTGTATGCAAAATTTCCTGATTAGCACATCCACTTACAAATCCAAAGTACCTGTCGGCCGGCCTTCATCCTCTACCCATGCCAGATTGGAACCAATTTACAACTATCTCGAGACCAATGATGATTGTCTATTTATTTTCATTCGTACAACCATGAGTGTCTTTTACAAGCAGACCTATATTATGGATTCAATTTTGACTTCAGACTCATACAACGAAGGTCGCAGATTCCGTGGCTTTGAATGTCTGAAATACCAATATTTTGAATATCTTGAAAACTTTGTTCAATCTTCAGCGCACTCTGGCGGCTGAACCAGATGAGTTAGCGAGCTTATTTTTCTGTAAATTTTATTTGCTTTCATTTTCATCTGCGCTAATTTTTCTCTTTATCAAGTCGTTTCGAAGTTATGAGCGAAAAACTGAAACAATTTCAAATTTTTCATAATTTTCTTTAATTTTCATGGTAAAGCCATATCCGAATCTAGTCGATAACTGAATTTTCAGATTCAGCATCCCAAAAAACATATGGATCCATTGAGAAAAATTCTTAAGCAATTTTTTCCTGTCCAAACTACCAAATGATTGGACTATATAAGATTTACATATTGTCTTACTATTTCAATATACGTGTAGTTGGGACAAATCAGATGATTTGCCTCAAAATGTCACTGCGATTAAAGAATTTTCCTATCAGAGAGCCTGAAAGAAAAATTCACTAGCTTGTCAGTGACAATTTCTATTGAAAAAGGTTTGGAGGAGAGAAATAACAGTATATAGAAAAAATATGAAATTTTCACTTATCTTTGGACGTTTCGGGAACGAATTTGCTCCCGTTTTCAAGATAAAAAATGGACACTGACACTTTTCAGTTCTCAGTGACAATTGGTGGCGTTGGCAATCAAATGAGTTACATGATGTTTTCATTAATTACTCTTGAATCCACCATTTTCATTTTCAGATTTCAGTAGTGAATACCATGTTCTATCTATATCAAAATCAAAACTTGTTGTATGTCCTAACGGATCCCGTTTATTTTGGTCCTTCGCCAAGGCTGTAGGAATAAACTTCACTTCCAGCTCGTTTCCTCCTCTAACCAAGGAAGAACACTAGCCACAACTGCCCAGGAGAAAGCCAACATTTTTGCGCATTTATTTGCTAGAAATTCCACTCTGGATTCATCGGGAAAACAACCTCCAAACATAACGCCAATTGACAGTCATATGCCCGAAATCACCTTTCGCCAACGTACTATAAGGAAGATTTTATTGGGTATCAACACCAACAAAGCATGTGGCTCCGACGGAATCCCACCGATTGTCCTCAAGAAATGTGCTTCCGAACTAACACCTGTTCTCTGCAAGTTGTTCAACTACTCTTACAAATTGGGGATATTCCCGTCCAACTGGAAAATTGCAAGAGTAACACCAGTTCCTAAAAAAGGCAAAAAGACCCTACCTAGCAACTACAGACCGATCGCACTGCTATCTATTATTTCAAAGATCATGGAGAACGCTATCAACATCGAGCTTATAAAATACCTGGAACATTCAGGTATTATCAACGATTGGCAATATGGCTTCCGTCATCAGAGATCAACTGCTGACCTGCTCGCTTACGTCTCACATATATGGCAGCAATCGATTGAAAAAAATGGTGAAACCTTAGCCGTGACACTTGATATCTCCAAGGCATTCGATCGAGTCTGGCACCACGGACTCCTCGCCAAGCTTCCATCTTACGGCTTGCCTCCCCAGCTATGTTCTCTGCTAGCTAGCTTTCTCTCGAACAGGTCTCTCCATGTAGTGGTCGACGGAGTTTCATCTGACTCTCTTATCATAAATGCTGGTGTCCGCAAGGAACAATTCTAGCACCAACACTATTTCTACTCCATATCAACGATTTGTTGGAAGCAACTTCATGTCCAGTACACAGCTTCGCGGATGATAGTACCCTCTATACCGCCTTCTCTTCCAGGGCTCCAATACCAGCCAGGCAAATCAGGAACGAACGAGGAAGAAATGTTGACAACATGAATATGGACTTGGCAACAATTCTCGAATGGGGATCCAATAACTTGGTAGATTTCAATGCAAACAAAACACAAGCATGCCTTTTCTCTAGAAAAGCCGATCTCACTGTGCCCAACATAAGCTTGTCAGGAGTAGCCATACCTTTGACGACATCCATTTCGATGCTTGGTATTACTATCAGCAATAACCTCCCTTGGAAAAATCACGTGAGATCAATTGCTAAAAGTGCATCCCAAAAACTTGGTTTTCTGTTTCGGGACAGGAGCTATTTCACTTCCAGTCAGCTGCTTATGATCTATAAGGCACAGATATGATCTATAAGGCACAGATATGATCTATAAGGCACAGATTTGACCTGTCCTGGAATACTGTTCCCATATTTGGACTGCAGCACTCAAAAATACCCTGAAACTGTTGGATCTGTCCAAAAAAGGGCAATTCGTCTCGTGGGTGATGCCTCGCCCACAAACTCACTCCCTTCTCTGGAACACCGTAGAAAAGTTGGCGATCTGGTTCTATTTTATAGATATTTTCATGGACGATGCTCTTCTGAAATATCAACCATTGTTCCTCCCTTCGCAGTCCCCGCGAGATTAACCCGTCGAGTTGAGGCTTCGCACTCCTTCGTGGTCACTCTGGAGACCTGCAGAACATCTCTTTCATCCAGGCTCTGGAACACATTGCCAGAAATTTAAGAAGAATTCCTACCTTATTTTCCTTGGTTCTCACGATGTTCTCTGATCCGTTTTCGTGGGAACCAGAACATAAAAAAAATAATTCTATCGTCTACTTTTCTGTATGAAATTCAAAATGGTGTATCACGAAACGGTCTCATTATTTCAAATGCGAGCCATGGAATTGGCATCACCATGTATAACGTGAATGATTATTATCTTATGATACCTCAGGTGCACCTTCAATTTCTTTGTCATCTTTAAATCAGCGAGTGGATATTATGACTATTTCTGGTATTAAATTGCTACCTGAATCGTCTTAGCATGACGATAATTGAACGTTGAATCATGTTTAATCAGGAAATTATTGTTCACTGCATTTTCCTACTAATGTCAAAATGAAACGGAATCGGGTTATCGAATTAGTATATTAAAGTGTAAGTTAGTATAAAGGAATTTAAAACAGGCTCGAAATAGAGCAAGTTAAAGGCCAGTTATTTGCGAATACTTTACGCTATTTTTTGTTTTCGATACACTTTGAGATCATAAATATGGAAATAACAACTAATAATATAAAATGGTTGTTTTTTTTAACCTCACAAACGATGAGATTTCTCCAAAATTCCTAATCACAGGACATGTTTCGCTAACACAGTAGCTAACTTATATACATATATCCTACTTTGCAAACTTCTATTTTGGGTCAAATATCTCGATAACTGTTTATTTTAGCTCAGTTGAAGGTGATGCATTTTTTAAACATAATTGAACAATCAATTCGAGAAATTGGAATTAATTGAAATTTCATCAGTGGCGTAGAAAATATGGGAGGAAAAGTTATCAAAACCCTCTGTAGCGCACCTCTGGATACAATTTTCGGAATGTATTTCTGGTCAAAAAATTAACCATTGAAACATAAAACCATATACCGAATTTGATTGCATTATATTCCATTTTTCTTGAGATATTGCGAAAAAACTATTTCAATTTCTTAACTTCAACGCCCTGTATCTCGAGAACTGAACACTTGAAGACCGTATGTCCCTATCTCAGTGATTATGAAATCACGAGGGCTATCACCTGTCAAGCGTTGTCGGTCGAATTTCGCAACGCCCTGTAGACAAATATTCAATGTACTTTCTATTAGTTGCTTGAATATCTGCAAGAGGGCGTGTCGCTGATTTCGAATCGCCTATTGAATTCGACTTTTATGGTTATTTTCTTTTTTTGCAGGTACGAGCGACTTTTGAGACGCGCCAAGACCGAAGATCTGACTGAAGTGTCTGGCATCGGCTGTCTGTACCAGAGCGGCGTCGACAGATTGGGCAGGCCCGTCGTAGTCTTCGTCGGCAAGTGGTTTCCATTCAACAAAATCAATCTAGATAAGGTGAGCTCCTATACTATAATACAGCGCAGTGGCGGATTATAGGGGAGGCGCGCGCCTCGTATTTCTCATGGCGAGGGGGCGCCAAACCAAGCGCAGTTCTTCAGTTCAATTTCAAGAGAGCAATGCCCCCCCCTGACTATCTAGAAATAGTAATTTATATACCAAGGTAGTAAAGAATATCATCATTACCTAGGGACCAAGATTCTTATGAAGTCTCCAATAACTTCCGATGAAATTTTTTCTTCTATCTCTATCAGCCTAGCAGCTATGGTCCGAGCGAGCATACGTGGGCCACCCTGTAGGACTGAAAAATCAGTTTTTCACGGAAAAGTTAAATAACTTGGCAACCGTGGTATCGAATTCAGAAAACAAAAAATAGTTGTGTAGCAATTTTGATGGAGCATTCGAAAATACAATTGAAAATAAGGAAAACACATTATTGTCTCACCCTTAGGATTTTTTTTTCATTTTTCCGAAATGTCCAAATATGAGTGAAGGTTTTTGATTTAGTCAACAAGATGTCGATAGATTACTATCGATAAAATGTCTCTTTCAGGTTTACAATAGTAAAATTTTAGCGCTGTGACATTTTTGGGCAATCGATCTAGTTCTTACTACGAATATATTGAAATGATACTAATATTTCATTCATAGAAACTAGGAAAGAAACTCGAGGAATTCATATTCCTAAAATAATCTATAGACAATACTTCCTAATCTGTTTTGATATTGAATATCATCTCAAGCTATTGGATGACTCGTAGCTTTCAACGTTTGAACGGCTGATTCGGATTTCTGACCTTTATAATTTTCCAGACTAAGGAACACTCCTTTCTATGTCGAGATTATTCAGGTTATCTATAAATAGTCGTCTCACTCAAATTCCATATTTCATGGATGCCAGTAATGAATCGCAATACATGATATGTGTAGCCCTGGCTGTGTCGTTTTCCTGATTTCTTTGCACTATTTAGTATACATTATGTTCTCTATAAACTATCATCTTGATCAAAGTATTTCATAATTTTCAGGGCGAGTGGGCTAATATTGAATTATTGGCATTCAATTATTCCACTGTGTCGTTAGGGACCTGAATTGATTTTCGCTTCCGTTATTGGTCAGATAATCTTTCATTCCCACTCAAGAAGCAAGGTTGCCAAGTCACCAATTATAATCAAGTTATCAACAAAAGGTTAGAGTCATGTCGTTGAATAAAACATAATAGGAGGAACCCTTGATATTATAGTTGATTCTTCACTTTTTCGAGCAACCAGTATGTCCAAATATTTCTTATACTCTATAACAAAATATCATGTAAATGTTGGAGACTCGGCAACATTGTGCTGACTGCTGAGAACTGACAAGACCACGCGCACAAGTCGTGCGCCGTGTTGTCACCTTTATCCGAGCGTTGACCGGTTCAAATGTCCTCTAGTGTGACTCAATATACAGGGTGGTCCGGTTTGTAATACTGATTAATACTGATATAATAATCACTGAATTACTTTATGAAATAGTTTTTGTTTCATCTTATAGAGTGTAAGAAGTTCAGTACCTGTAAGAATTTTTGTTGATTTATCTGAAACAGTTTCGAACTTTTCGTATTCAGACTCGTATTTTCAACACCCTATATCTTGAAAACGACGCATTCAAAAGTATGTATATATGATTTTTTTTTATTATTTCAACGAGTATAACACACTGTTGAATTTTTTGTATTACAAACCGGACCACCCTGTATATCGATGACTGGAACCTTTGACACGATAATACACTACACACTGTTTCACCACTAACCAAACCGATTTTTTAAACCTCGACACGTGTTTCGCTAACTATGTTAGCATCTTCAGGAGAAGATTAAAGTTTTAATTAAATTAAAACTGATTTTGTTTTTTGCAGATTCACTGTAAGAAAACGTTCACTCATTTCCAGATAGATTATTTTCATTCCTAGTTCAGCATTTTTTGTCACGTCTTCCGAGGAATCACCATTGAACAAAACGACAGTGTCATCAGCGTATGACACAACTTTTGTATATGTACAGGGTGATTCACCATAAAAGTCCCCCCCTCTAGCTCACTTATTTTTCAACCGTTTTTCCGTTGCATCAGAAAATACAGGGTGCTCGGAACAAACGATCTACAGTGTACTACTTGATTTTTTCAAATGAAACACCCTGTATTCCATTGTATTTTTAGATTCTTCCTGAAGATCTGATTTCATCAATGCATCACACTTGTGGTCTAGCGGGAATGATTACAGAGATATAGGGTGTTGAAAATCGAGATTTTTCAAGTTTAGTATTTTTTTGTGTCGAAACTATTCATTATTAGTCAAACACCTCTAATGTCCCTATCTCAACTTTCGATTTACTGTCTACTGACATTCAATTGAAACATATACAGTGTGATTCAAGATTCAGAATTCTGATCACCCTGTATCTGTTCCAATTATTAAATGTCAGTAGATAGTAAATCAAAAGTTGAGATACGGACATGAAAGCCGTTCTGACCGATGATGAATAGTTTTGTCACAGAAAAATCCTAAAGTTGAAAAATCTCGATTTTGAACACTATATCTCTGTAAGCATTTTCGCTAGACCCCAAGTGTGATGCATTGATGAAATCAGCTCTTCAGGTAGAATCTGAAAATACAATGAAAAATAGGGTGTTCAATTTAAAAAAATCAAATAGTACACTGTAGATCGTTTGTTCCGAGCACCTTGTATCTTCTGATGTAGCGGAGAAAAACTCCATCGAAAATCATTTTAGACGATATTTAAAATTTTGCAATCGGTTCAAAAATAACTGAGCTAGAGGGAGGGGACATTTATGGTGAATCACCCTGTACCTAACCCTAAATTTCATATCTCGTTGTTGTATATAATGGCCCCAATACAGTTCCCTGTGGCAACCCATATTATACTGCTGTCTTCTCGCTACTTGCGATATTGTTTACTTTGCTGTTTTTGGTACGATTTTCTAGATAAGTTTTGATTAGATCTGCAAATTTGCCTTTGCCACATGTTCTTAATTTATCTAATAATTTGTTATGGGAAACCGTATCAAACGCTTTCTTCAGGTCTATAAACACGGCAATTACTTTTTTGCTTTGATCAATTAAATTATAAATAGTGTTTGTTATTTCAAAAATCGCGTCATTCGTACGGAGTTTCTTCCTGAATCCATACTGTTTATCTGACAGAATGTTATGCTCATTAAGAATGGGCAGGCAGAGTGACGTCAGTTCACGCCAAATCTACGAGACTTCCTTTACATTGTTTCTAGTTAATAAATCTTATATTTTCATAATGTTCCCACTTAATACTTAACATTTATGAAACAACTTGATTTCATGATGTTTTAGTTCATAATTGCGTTGTTGGCTTCTATTGTTCATCTACCCTGCAACCATCGTTGGAAAGTTGTTTTTCTTTATCTTTGGTCCTTTGAGGAGAAGGAGCATTGTTATGACTAGTACAATGGGTTGAAGGAAATGTGTTTTAATCAATAATGCATTATACCTAGCCCTGTTACACGCAGCTACTGAAGTAGTTAATCAACTATTCACGTCGAACTGTAGTCGAAGTTAAATAAAAGAACTTTGGGCTTTGTTCTCTATGTTCAAGATCGAGGTGAGCTCAAATCCAGCGAATTGTTTCGAATTTCTCATTCTGGTAATATTCAATGGTGGCTTGATTAACATTAAGGGGTACTTCCTTATTTCAATACCACATGCGTTGACAAGGGAACAATTCACAATGGGGAAGTTTCCTTTATTGAGATTCTTATTTTTCCGTGAAGTTTATCAAAATATATTATAAACGTATTTTAAATTTTTTCAATAAACTCAATAGACTGACAATTTACTTAAAAAAAAATCGAAGAAATAGTTTCGGCTCCTTCACCATTTTGCTGACGTCATTGCTGAACTGCCATGTTCACACAGCATCCATTTACATGTTTGGGTATTGAGAAAATCTTTATAAATGTATTGACTGCATTGACATTCCAATTACAATATTTGCTACTTTATATGGAATGATATTTGTAATTTGATTTTCTGAATAGTCGAAAAGTATAAACCATATTATGTATGGCTGTCTGATGAAATGACGAATCCGGACGAAACATCGATTACTGGAAGTTGAAGCTCCAAATGAATAGAATCAAAATGAAATTCAAACTTGAAGATATCCTGACTGGATTTTCAATGATTCCAAGAAATTAGTGAATTATATCTGGCAACCGCGCCCAAAACCAGTTTTACACCATTGTTTATTATTGTTCACGGTTTTTTACTTATTAATTCACGGTCTAGGATTATATATGCGCTGTTTTCGTTGTATTCGCACTTGTTGATTGTGATCAAGTTGCTGTGATTTATGTTGAATTTTATCTCTATAGACCAATCAGTTCGTCAGAATTGTAATATTCTCGGATATCACTAATGATAAGCAACAACCTCTAAAATCATTTTTATTATTTTTCAATCCATTAATTTTTCAGGATATACTCGCAATCATGAGTTAGCCTTCTGAAAAAGTGAAACTTTGTTTTTTTCTTCGTTTTCAGTTCTGGCGAGAGTTCGGGCTCGATCTCACAGCAAAGGTTATTATACCCATATTCACACTAGATTCACCGTTCACGTCATCGTTTTCAGCCAAAATATGACTTCATTGCTCTAGTTCGAAAATAAAAATGATTTAAATCATTTCAATTGTCATTATAGATTGCAGAAGCATAATCCTAATCAGTGTGTAACTAATTTTATGAAAATTCATCCGAAGGAAACTTCCCCAATAATTTCAGATTTCAGGTAATTACTTACCAACATTCATCCCTCATATCTCAATTCGTCTCCCTTCTCCCTATGAGTTCGTTATTTCTACAGATCTAGAAAAGAATTGCCGGCATGTATGATTTCCAATGCATTCGAACGATATGTCTTTGAAGCAGTCGACCACCTCAAAATTCAACAGATAGGCCATACACGCGATGAATAATCTATTCCTGCTCTCTTCGTAGCTAAAACGCTTCTACGGATTCTAGCAGGAAACAAGCTCACTGCTCAGTGCTCAGTCACTCACAGTTGAGATGAGGAAACGCGTCATTTTGTGTAACGATGGGATTTTACGGAACGAGCGAAGCGAGATCTCGCAAAACACAGAGTCACACAAAATGCGTTTCGTAACGTGTTATACGTAGAGTCCGACCACGATAACTTTGGGACAGCACGTGGTCGCGTATGCATTGAATATGCATATGCGTTGGGTCACATGCTGTCCCAAAGTTAACGTGGTCGGACTCTACACATTTGTTCAAATTTTGATGATAATTTTCGCTTCAACAGAACTAATGACCATAAGTTCTACATGATTTCTACCGGTTAGTAGGCAAGTGCCCGTCACTTTTAAGTATCCGTCAAACAATAATATGGTTACAAATCAGCGACAAAATAAAGTCAAAATGGCATTCAACATAAAGATGATACAGGTACCATTTCATAGTGAATAAAAATTCAAGCATTACAAGTATCAAGAACTTCTTCATGATTTGCCTGAAGATATTTTTCCATTGTATAAAAACAATATTTCAAGAAGTGATTGTTACATTTATTCTGCAAATAGACAGTTTTTCGTTCATATCCTCATGAACTATATCCTATAGCTTCTTCATAGATCGCCTATTTTCATTTTCAGGCATTGTTGTATCTGATCACACTCCTGGATCCTATCGTCAAGGGTGACTACGTCATAGCCTACTTCCACACCCTCACATCTGGTAATAACTACCCCTCTTTCTCTTGGCTGAGAGAGGTGTACAATGTCCTACCTTATAAATACAAGAAGAATCTGAAGGCGTTCTATGTCATCCATCCTACGTTTTGGACCAAGGTGAGTTATATTAGGGATTTAATTCTGAGGAACATAACCTATATCTCCTTTGAGCTCATCATTGATATTACGTTTCAAATAAGTTGAAGAGATATGTCTTCAAAAAATGGCAACGCTGTAAACAGTGCGTCAATGTTCACACTTTTCGTTACCAGTGGCGTAGGTTGAGTGTGGTGCAAGACAATAGTACTACAATGACAACCTATTAGAAAAATAAATGTGAAACAATGTTTTTTGCAATAATGTGGTTCATAAACATACTATAACCACACCACTGCTCATGTTGAAAGAAACATAACCTTATTTACCCTGGAAATACCAATTCGGGGTTTGGATGGTCATTTTTTTTACAGACCACGCAATGGCGAACCATAGTAAATTGTTAATAATTGTCTTCATAGTCTTGTAACAAGAAAACAATGAAAATCAATTGAAACACACAGAAGGTCCTAAAATGGTAACAAACCCAGCACAGCACTGTAACGTCGGCTTTTCAGATACCTGAATGACTTTAAGAAAAATATGCGTCACTCATAGTAAACACGCTGATACAGCGTTGTCACAGCTATTTCCATAATTCATTATAATTATATGTTACAATGAAATACGCAAAATTTGAATGATTTCAATCAAAATAATGTATATCATAAAATTAATGCATGATTAATGGATCCCTCGTTTTCAAACACAGCGGTAGATCTAGGTCAATCCGCAGAAATTCGTATTACGATAATCGATATCGTGATATAAATCTTGACTATAGTTGTATCGTAAATATTTATTACGCAACTGCTTCTCAGTCCCTATGTTCCAATAACCAATTAGGGACCATCTCTAAATGAACTTATTGATTATTATTGAAATTGTATAAGAGCCAAAACATAATCCCACAGGATTGATCATCTCGACAAAAAAGCTGTGAAGTCACTGGAGCAGGTAATAAAGAATGGTACTAAACCCTTTTCCTAATTTTAATAATTTATAAGATTACTTGTTACGTCAAAGCATTGTGCCGACTTTGAATACCTGAGTCATTAAAAAAAAACTTTATTTTAAATCAAAGTGGCATGCAACATAAGTCATATTCTTTTTCTTCAAAGTATATAACGAATTTTTCTCCTTTCCGATTTCTTTGTTTATATATTTATTTAAGTGGAGCCAATACTCGAATAAATATTCTGAATATTGTTTATGGAATAGTCTTCATTAGTTATTCAAAAAACATTGATAATACTTGAGTGTGATATGAAGGGAATGGTTATGTAGTAAATAAATATTGCAAACTGTGAATATAAAGACTACATCTATATTTAGAAGAACTGTTAGGACTAAAAGCTCAAAAGTATTATTTTCAACGGTATGCAATTACTTCACGAATATTATTATTATTATTTTCTGAGCTCGCATTCGAGTTATTTTAGTATTGATATAATTATAGATTTCCACTGAACTCGGTTTGAAGCATCTTTCAATTGATTTCGCACCATTGTAGACAATCGACATGCGGTCCTATCCAACAAAGCATTCGCCCTGAGTTTATTTTACTTTTTGTAACTTCCACCAAAACTAAATCGAGACATCTGCTGCTAATGGACTGGAACCCAGCAATAAAGTTTCTACATCTCTCATCTTTCGAAGTTTTCATGAAGTGTTAGGAGCATTTAATGGGGCTGTGAAATTTCGACAACTTGCTTTGAACTTTCTCTGTTGACGATATTTAATATACAGGGTTACCAAAGTATCGAAAACGGTCGAAATAAATGTAACAAACTTAGCACCTCGAAATGGTAGTTTCTAGTAGAACACATTGTCTTTAATTGTTCATATACGGTAAGACATTATCTTCGAGCAATAAAACATATCACAGAATGAACAACACAATCGTCGAAAAATTGTATACCGGGTGTCAATGAATCTATTATACAAGCCATAGCTTCTAGAATATTCCGTGTATCAAAATGATAGTTAATATGGGTGGGTATATGGTATGTGAAGAGGAATGTTTTCGAATATTTTTCACTTTTCGGTCACTCCTGGTGTCACCGGAAATGTCTCCGGTTTTGAATTTTTAAACGGCACACCCTGTATATTGTAACATTTTTTAATTTCTGTGACAATTCTGGATCAGAATAGGACATCTTCAGAAGTTTGTATGCCTACTCTATTTTTGTAGGGTCACTTTTGACTTTGCATCTAGATGGACATGCTCCGACGTAACATATCTGAAGTACCTTCAGGTGATGTCAGAAAATTCCCATCCCCTTCGAATTATTTTGTAGGTTAGCAGGTAGGTTGATCTTGTGGAAGAGAGGAATTATGAATAATTGCAAAGTTTTGGTGACTAGTATGATCGATAAAAAGAAGACAAGTTGACAAAATAACATGTCCGTATTTAACTATTATTTTTCGAATGGCAATCATTTTTTGACAAGTACTTGGACCTTTATTCAAGTGTGCCATGGATAACCTCATCTATAATATTTCGCAGTTATTTGTTTTCGAGTCTCCTTTGGAAAGCAAAACACTCAGGTATCCACTTTTCACTCTGATTGTACATTATTTTGACAGATTACACGCCTATTCTGAGTACCAATGAGATATCTTCAATTTCCTAAAACCAACCAATCACCAGGCATTTGTAGTGATAAATGGCTACATTTTTTTCCCAATAACCGATAAATATGGATAGGTACCTTGCTTTCAATCAACACACTTCAATATACTCTGACAACAACTGTCACCGTCACTACCGTCAGATAATTTTCCCGTTTTCTCAACACAGCATCATCTCTTTTTCAAACCAAATTGTCCTTATAATGTCGTAGTTGTGTATTAATCTTTCTAAAATACATTGGAGAAATGTTTTCATTGATAAATACATTTCAAATTGTATTGAAATTTTAGCATTTCGCAAAAAATCTCGAATCAATACCATGACAATAAAACTCATACAATTGAACATATATTTATCGATAAAAACATCTTGTCATATGTATTCACCCCCAAAAATTAAACTGATTAGAAAAAAATAAAGAAACTTGTACTGTCTGCTCATAAGGCTTATGTCACTGTCATTACCTGAGTGTTTTGTTTCTCAAAGATGACTCGAAAAAAATAACTGCAAATATAATGAACCAATATCTAGTATTTTTTTTAGTTAAACGGAATTTATGTTCTCATTTTCAATCCAATCGCAAATAAATTATTATCCTTATATTCGTCAAAAAATGGTTACCATTTGTGTAATTGTTCAATAAGAGAATTGAATACGCAGAAATGTGGATCGCACTGAATATACTACATGATGAGACGAAAATTTTGTAATCCACGAACAAGAAAATATAAGAGTGTTCCTGCTCGAAGTGAGACACACTGTAAAAAGTAGGATTCAGTTACACTTTTATTGTTACAGATGATGACTTGGTGGTTCACAACCTTCATGGCACCAGCAATAAAACAAAAGGTCCACAGCTTACCAGGCGTGGAATATTTGTATGCTGTCATGTCACCAGATCAGCTTGAAATACCTGCATTCATCACTGAATACGACATGACCGTAAGCAATTTGATAGTATTATCTTTCTATTGAACTATTATTTCATATCGACCTCTGATATTCACAAACCTATACATTTGTGTTATTCGCAATCGGTCTAAGAATCATTACACTGGACGTACTTCATTCAAAAATTAATAATTTTTTTGTATGGCGGGAAAAAAGTTTGTAATTTTATTTCTGTTGACAGGTTTAAATGTCACTTTTCATCAACTACTTTTTTTCCACGGAAAAAAAGTTAGTACTCTTTTGCCGGATATATATCAAATATAAATATACACTGTTGTCCTTTTATCTTTCATTCGATTTCGTTGTTACGTCAATCAATAAATAACCACTAAATTCGCAATTTCAAATCAAATCACAGAATTAGACTGACAGATGTTTGATTACTTCAAAAGAAGAAGATGCCTGCAAGAAGATGCCTGCGACGCAGGTGCCATTCCTGATAAAAAAAATCAAATTTCACATCGATAATTATCTGATTTCAATGTAATGTAATAACTTCTCAATATGTCACAGAAAAAAATTGTGTTTTTTGTCTCCCTCCGCTACTTGTCGGTAGACAACACAACCTGGAGCTGAAATCTACTATTTTTTCCTTGTATAATGAGTAGCTATTTTCCCTAAAATGTTCTACCCACCTGTATAGAGAACAATAATTTTCCTTGGAAAAATGGTATACATATTATTTTTTACATACTGCAACTTGAACTTGAGAACATTGATGTGAATACAAATTATCCCTTTCCCATTCTAACAGTCCTCGTATTTTCCGAATTACAAAGGGTTTGTTGATTTTTTGGCGAAAATATTTCATATTTCTAGTAGGTTAACCCAATTCATCCTTATTTGGCATTATCATTTCACTAGTGATAATGTTCATATTCATAAATAATTGAAATGAAATATCCAGGTCTGGACTTGGGTAAAAATTGAAATGTTTGGTCGTAAAAATCAAAATTGAATAAATATCACTCTTTCATTTGTTTTGTCACTGTTGTGTAGTATCGGATATAAAAAAACATATTCAAACAAATTGGGAATTCGTTAGTAGGTGCCTGAGTCTAGAAAACCAATATACAGAGTGGTCCAGATTTTTGCACATAGTGGTGAGAGACTCGCGAAAAATGGGACTTTCCTTAAAAATATCTTCGAAAATCCACAAAAACAGGTCATTAAAGTAAGTTTTAAAAACACTATTATTCGATTCCTAGGGAGTTTCAAATGTGATCCGTTTCAACGTCGGCACACTTACTTTCTATGTAAACCCGCGTCTACAGTCAGAAATAGTTAGAGGAATCTATAGACGCCGATACAGGGGTTACATATACATTTCCTACTCGGAAATGTGCTGATTGATTCTTGAATTCTGAAGAAAAAAGCATCCATGAAAAATGTTGTTAAACAAGCAGTAATAAACAATATACCGCCTCCACCGGATTCAAACATACATTTTATTGATTCAATTCGAAATTAACAATAAACTTGACAAAACTACTCTACTGGTTTTTTTTGTTATCTTCATATTATTGAATATCAATGGTGAATCTTCGAGGCCGGTATGTAGGATTGTCACAAGGAAGCTTTCTTCATCCGAATTCAGTAATATATTGGATCACTGCTTTCTTAAAAATATATCCATTTGCGTGCTCATTTCTAGAAAGTATATTTATAACCACTATAATTGACGTGTATGGTTTTATGCAATATTTTTGTGTATTCCTTTAGATATGGAATGATGAACGATGTTCATCGAGAAAAATATATTTATTTTGTGAATCTCTATCAGATCTCTAAACTACTGTAAAAATATTTGGACCACCCTCATTAGGACATTTTTTCCTGTCCTGAGCTTTGTCACTGAATTCATGTATATTTTCCCAATCTCCTGATCTTCATGACGTTAAATTTTTATTATTATTTTTTTCAGATAAATGGTGTGAGGTACTTCCACCCGGTGGCAGCACCCACATAACTGATGTGATAAACCTGCGCTATGCTGCGTGTTTTAGTATTAACTCATTCCCTCAAGTGATAAGTCGCAATATAATTCTTTGATTTGTGCTAAATCAAGTTGTGTGTGCCAACTGAATACATCCTAGGACTAAAACGACCGCTGCATGTGACGACAAAGCATTGTCAGCTGAATGGGAAAAATAATCAAACTGCCTCCAATATCTGGTCTGCTCTAGAGCTAAAATTCCTTTTGGTTTCTTTCGTCGGGTAATAACGATATTTATATCGAATCCACTATCCACATGATCGATATGTTTTGTTAAGCTCTAAAAACCTGACAGATATGAGAATTCTTTAGTTGCAATGTGTGTGGATGAATGGAAATTTCAGGAGTGCGCTCATGTATGGTATTATGGAAATTGAATCTTCCATAGTATTGCGAGGTTAATCATTTCTATCAATGGACATGATAGGAATATAATAATTTGTGTTTCAATTTTGAATTCTACCATTTATATCTTAGATTTGCTTCATTTGGAGAGCCATAAATTATTATTGTCCCAGTATTTATTGGTTGACATAAAAATGTTACAAAAATAGGATCATTCAAAGGGATTTATATGCCTAACGGCAACAACTTGATCACTTCTGAGCGGTTTGTTGTGATGATATGACCAATAAGCACAAACAAAAAACAAAAGTGAACCAATGAAAACAAAGTAAACATGTTTCCAGAACTGCGATAGGTGGCGTACGCTTATTTTCTATCTGCTATCGCAAATTACGCTGAACTTGAGATATCTACGGAATTAAAAATAATTGAATGAACTAACACCTACTATAAGATGATGATGATGATGAGATGATCCAATCAGAGACATAACATAGATGACAGGCTCACTTGAAACTCATCACATCTTTTATCACACTCAATTCAGCAGTCCTCCCGCTATGGCATGTCAAATGTTCCATATTTCCTCGTAGATATGATCAATCGAAGATACAGTGTGTGCGTTTTCAACTCGCAGCACTCCTAATTTGGAACCCACCCGTTGACCGATTTTTCAAAACAAAAATTCCATAATACACTGTGTTGCAAAATTCACCATTTTGGTGCATCTCCATCATAGTGACGTTATTGGCTAATGGATTATCGGTGGGTCCATTTTTCACTGAAATAAGCAACATGTCATCTCATTCTGTGATTTTGTTGACGTTTTTGCAGATTTGAGGCAAGTTTCATGTGATGAAATTTGTGAGTTCAATAATATTTGCGAATGTGAAAATGGAAGATTATGTTATTTATCACACAATGGGCACCAGATGACAAGTTACGTGACCCTACAACTGTACAGTGTTCTGATTACCTATCTACTCGTAGGTTTTATAAATATATGTATAAACTGATAATGATGAACAAGAGTCTGTAGTACTATCACTATTACTGCTGCTAGATTGCAGTAACTTATTGACGCTCATTTCAGAAACTAAAGATTCATATAGGAATAATTCATTTGAAATTTTAAACCCCAAACGCCCGAAAACCAATAACCATGTCGATAACCTGTTATTTGATAACAGTATTAACCTCAAATTATGATTAACATATTGATCCACCAATTCACCTAGTTCGAATGGTGAATTGGTGGCTCATTAGATTGTTCACCAGATGAATTGAGCAACAGCAAATTTTCCACCACTGCTGTTGACATACCAAAGTGGTGATGATCGCAACACAGTGATTAGTACTCAACGAACTATCTTTGAAAATGTGGATGAATCTGAAATATTCAGATTCTCAAGGCCTACTATTATTTGTTCAAGAGATCAAAATTCCAAAAACGACTATTATGCAATACCTCCTATAGGGTGTTGGTTATTTAATGGCAAATTTCAATATTTTTGCTTTTCCAATTCACCCTGTATAAAAATCTAAGGATGTGATATAGGTGGAGTAGTCATTCAATGGAGGAACACATACTTAGATACTAAGTTTCATCGTTGTAACTTCTACAAGACATCCAAAAATCAATAAAACTCAAAATCACGTAAAAACAGAACAGAAATCAAAACAATCATAAAATACAAAAAACAAGTGAAATCTAGGGAACGAGCCTTGTATGGATCGCTGATGGTCATACACTGGAACTTGTGATAGAACAGGCCAGATAGTGCAGGCATCTTCATTAATTCTTCCATTTAGCCCACAATGGAAAAATACTTCGTCGATTTGTCGATGAGAAATGTCAAAAGCCCTAGTAACAATATTCAAGTTCTTTTTCTATAATTCGATTAGGGAATCCAGGAATAATATAAAACACAATCAACCGTGCATTCATTATGCCAGGAGTCCTAGTAAATCTGTTTCAATGGAATATTTCACAAATTTGAATGAAGAAATAAATCATTTTTATGACTTTATATATATGTATATATATGTATATATAGAATGACCTTCAATATGAGCTGAATAACAATTGGGAGTCTTCAAACAGCACTTTGTATTTTTTTTATATTTCAGGTTCATTTCCATTATTTCCACTGTCATTATTACTTTTGGAATTATTATCATCAAGGGTTATTGAAAGCAGATTTTATACATTTGAATTAAAAATCAAGGTGACATAATATTTTGTAGCATACTGAAAATTTTACCATTTGAAATCTCAAGTAACGGTTTTTTCTGTCATCTTGAATGTAAAACAGAAACTGTACATTGCTTGAAGCTGATTTTGCGTAGATACTTTCACGGAAAATGTTCCTCAGATATTTTTAGCATTCCATTACTAGCAGAACCAGTCAGACGAACTGGACATGTTCAGTCAGCACATCGTTTTGTCGTCAACCTCGATATTTGTCGAACAACTCTCCACTAAAAATCAATTACTTTGTCTATAGAGCTGCAGAGCTTTGGAATTCTTTGTCTAAGGAAGTATATCTAAGAACCTTTCTTCGCGAGTTGAAACAAGTTCAAAGCCCACATTCTCTTCCTATTCAACTTAGGTATGCAGGATGTTATTCAGCTCAAATTAAAGGCCTCTGTATGAAGTTACTGTTCCATTTTCTTTATTGACACTAGGTCATTTTTGTATCTTAAATCAATCAACGTTTTTGTATTGTATTGTGGGTATGTTTCTGGAATAAAGAGAAAAAATGTCCAGTTATTCCGTTGGGACAGGTATGCTACGACACTCGGTATAGGAAAGACATTTTTTTTACTTGATGTAGTCATAGAAATGAGTCTATTTATTTGTTTCTTGCAGTAAAAAAGATCCTGCACTGTATGAATGAATGGATTGCTTCGTCGTTATTGTGTATCATAATGTTAAGTTTAGAAGCATTCGAAAACACGTTGAAATCAAATAAATTTTATAGCTGTTGATAGATATAGAGGTGGGAGTGAAATTTCCTAATAGTTTCATCTTCATTTGTTATTCACTGGAGATGTGCTTGCTGAATGAGTCAAAGTCAGTCATTACAGATCAACTTATCGACTACTGTAATTTTTATAGGCAGTATCTGACCTCACATTTGTTATAAAAAAGTCTAGTTAATACAAAAATAAAGTTGATAGATACTCCCACACCACATACAGAATTCCTTAATTCACAATTAGATAATTCTCGATGTTTCCCTGTGATTGGAATATATCTGCTCAAGATTAAATTTTATACTGCTGAAGAGTGATTAAGGCAACATCAAGGACATATCTGTAAGGCTGAGTAGAATCCCTTATTTCATAGCATTACGAATCAATCATAAAGATGGGCAATTTGTATTCTCCCAGATATTCCTTGATAGCCAAGAATTTACAGACATTTGTTGAATTAAAAAAGAACTATAGCATATTCCGGATAAGAATAAAGTAGATGGCGTAGATGGTTGAGCCGCTTTACACTAGTAAAATAAACCCGCCAAATACAAATATTTCAGAATGTCTCAGAGTTCACTAGTTTAGTGATGAACCAATTATATATTTTCGTAGCTGTTTGAGTGTATTTCACAGAACACAAATCGGATGAAGTTATCAACTTTTGAATGAATACAAAAATACTATTGATTGAGGTTATGTATCTTGTTGTTTACTGCTAGTGGACGACCAACGATTGATGACTATGGAAACTGTGGAATATCAATAATAGAATCCGGGTACTGCCAGTAATGCAAGTATGCCGCTTGATTACTGACACACGGTATAAATAAAACACTTGATTGTCAGTAATCTCAACCTCGATCACAACAACCTATTCTATTTTGACGATTTTTGCCGGTCAACTAACGATTTTCATTATTAATCATCAATATGACGTCACTAGTGTAAACTTGCTTAGCGTCTAAACGACCGAAATGCTAGTTGGAATATACTATAGTGTTCATTATTATCCAATCATTATCACTTTAATTGTCTAATTATATATTTATATATTTTAATCTTTTTATACCTTAGAATCATAAGACATGCTGTTGCTAATCACTGTTGAATTTTATTTTCGTTGTATAAGTTTATTCAGTGCTGTAAGCATGATATCGTCTGTTGGCTGACGTGAAATGAGATGAAATAGGGAAGTTCAGCTAGCTTTGAGAGAGAAAAATAGGTCTTCCCTTTCTGTCGTGGTCTTCAAAGTTCCATCGTGAAATGATTGGAATGTCATGTTGGTAACACAAAAAATTAGGAGATATGAAGCCATTTCCAACTGCCACAGCAAGTAACACCACACTTTAGACCCTTACTGTAAGAGTCTATACTGTGGTAACACCTAGTAACTCCGAATTGATTGACAGCGTTCCCATTGACTATGCTACACAGTTTTTCGTAACGAAAACTACTCGGAAGTTATTCGATGTTGCTCGCTGTGGTTATTGGAAAGCCACTCAATCTCACCTGAACATGAAAAAGGTTAGAATGATCTTCTCCACTTCTTCTTATTTTTTGTATTGCCAACATGAATTGTTCCTTATTTCACTTTGGAACCCTGAAGACTAGAACATTCCTCTCAACGCTAACTGAACTGGTAATTG